CCCCCGCCCACTGCGCCCCCCTCCCTGCAGACCCGCCATGTACCGGGCCGGGCAGGCGTCGCGCAGCTGCTTGGTGATGACGCCCTCCTCGAAGCAGAGATCCACCAGCTTCTCCAGGAGGCCGTGGGCCAGCGGCACGTCCAGGCTGATGTCGCCCAGCTCCTCGTACACCCGCTGGAAGCCCTGGAGGGGCAGGACCCCGGGCAGGGCTGCAGCCGGCACCGGGGACTGAGCCTGCCCCACACCCCCGCCACCCCGCTCACCCGGTTCATCTGGTCCAGCGTCACCAGCCCCGTCTCCCACAGCACCTTGAGCAACCGAACCATCATGGCCACGGGCGTCTCCCCGGTGGACTCCAGCACCAGCACCACAGCCTGCGGGGACAGGATGAGATGGGGGGGAAGGGGTCAGCACCGCCGGGTGACCCACGAGCCTGGGGTCTGAGCGCGAATGCTCTTCTGCCCCTACCTCGTAGACGAGCTCGTGGTGGAAGTGGGGCACCTCGAGCTGGCGCAGGCAGCGCTCGGCCTCCGACACCTCCCCGGACAGCAGGTACTCGCGCAGCAGCAGGCTCATCTGGGGGGACGGACAAGATGCTGAGGGACGGACGGGCAGACCAGCCCCCTTGGTCCGCCACCGCCCACCCCGGGCACCCGCCTGACCTCCTTGATGAGGTGCTTGACGGGGCGCTGGCCCCCGCCCACGCCCCACACGTTGTCCAGGTGGTTCACGTCCCGCTTGATGCGCAGCAGCACGGCCGCGCGGTCCAGGGCCGCCCTGCAGGGGTGGGGCACAGGTGAGCAGGGGGGTGGGCGGAGGGAGCGGGACTGGGGACGTGGGGACACACCCGTGCACAAGTACCGGGCGTGCTCGCAGTCCACGCGGCCCTTGTAGCGCTCCAGGAAGTCGAGGGGCAGCGCATGGTCGGCCACGGCCCGTGCGATGAACTGGCCCAGCATCTGTGTGGACACGGGTGGGATGGGGGAGCCTGGCCCCTGCCCGGCACCCCAGTGCCTGTCCCCAGCCCGGGCTCCCCGCTCACCTGCGGGGCTTCAGGGGTGTCCAGGATGAGGTCGGGCAGGTCGCGCAGCATGCGGTCGAAGGCGGCGGCGAGGTCGTCGGGGGTCAGCACGCGGCCCACCAGGTCGGCCAGCAGACGTGATGTCAGTTCCCGGTGGCTGGCCTTGCCCTCCAGCGCCAGCACCACGGCCAGCGCGGGCACCGCGCCCCGCCGCTCGCCCAGGTTCAGCCCCTGCAGCAGCGCCTGCGCCCACGGCCCCGCCGTCAGCCCGGGCACGGCCCAGCCAGGGGGAGCCCCCACCCCCCCTCCCCACAGGGGTCCCCGGGGACTCACCATGACCTCGCTGGTGTCCCCGTGCTCAAAGTACTCCAGCACCATGGGCTGCACGTTCTTCTCCAGCTCCGCCTCCTCCAGCTCCGGTGTCACCGTGGCGTAGACGGTGTCCCCCTGCGGCATGGAGCTCTCAGCCCGGGCACCCCCTGCCCTCCCCAGGAGCTGCTTGCCCCAGCTGGCTGCACC